CCATGGCTCTTTGGCAGCTTTTTCAGAGAGCGGCTGAGGGACGTGCCCAGCTGCTTCCTGAAGAAGGCTGAATGCCACTTCAAGTCCTCTATCTTGGGGGCATCAGGGCCCAGAGAGGGACTGTTGAACAACACCATGTTTTCAGGGACGTGCCCAGCTGCTTCCTGAAGAAGGCTGAATGCCACTTCAAGTCCTCTATCTTGGGGGCATCAGGGCCCAGAGAGGGACTGTTGAACAACACCATGTTTTCCATCGAGGAGGAGGAGGAAGGCACACCTAAACAGAAACAAAGTAAGTTAAAACCAAGCAATTGCATCGCCTGGTTATGTACTCCTTTTCTGAACTGTACCCATTTCAGCTCTCCTCTCCGTGGCTGTGGGGCACTTAGGGACATTCGGGGGCCTGCCCAACAGCTCCTCCTGCCCAAGCAGCTCCCCGTGGAGGGGAGGTCGCTGCGCGTCACCGTGGGTAATGGGGCTGCCCCATGCGGCAGCCTCGCGGGGACCGTAATGCCCAGCGCTGCCACAGGCACTCAAACCCAGGCTGGGGGGAGCAAGCAAGCGCTCTAAACTGGGTAGTGCTACTCAATGCCTTTGAGTGAGTCACAAGACTATCCTTAAGTCTTTTCATCTCTGAGAAAAGAGATGAAGTTACTGCCACTGAGAACGGGCAGCAAGAAATCCATCTTGTTTGGAAACCTCTACCTGCTACGTTTTCCAAATGCATTTCTTCAAACTACCATCTGTGGTGGTAAGGAAACACATATTAAGCACTAACAAAGCAGCACTAATCACCTGGGTGCTGTATGGCACTCACGTGTCTCTGTCATAAGGACTGATTAATTTAAGAACAAAAAAAATTGCACCCGAAAGGATCAGAACCAGCAAGCCCCTCAGGAGCCCGTGGGTGACAGCAGATGCACCTCTTTGTATGGCAACATTGCCACCACTGGAGCTACTCCAGATTCTCATTTCTGCTGCAGTCTGCTGGTGCAGGGTGGACCACACAAGCTTTTACTGTGCGTAAGCGAGGTCCTGTTGGCCTCCACAGAAGGTGGTGAGTCTCTAAGCAGTGTTTGCAGCGCCTGTGCCTGCATCGTGTCCCTGCACATGAGAAAGGGAGCGGCGAGGCCTACCTGAAACACCATCCTGTTCCAACTGCTTTGCGTAGGCATTAAATATCTGCTCTTGAACTCTGCAAACAGACCTCTTGATTTTTTCCCTTCGGGTTACCATGTAGGTGAGATTACGTACCTAGAAGGCATCAAATTGATGAGTTTTACAGAAATCATCTCTCTACAATACTAGAGATCTGTAGTTTGAAGAAAAAAAAAAAGAAAAAGGAAAAAGAAAGAAAAAAAGAACTCTTGTTCAGCAGCATTTTTCCTCTTGTCCTGAAAATTCCACACATACACGTGTGTGTGTGAATTAAGCTTACATACCACAAGCCATTTAACCAGACAGAATTTAAGTAAGCTTAATGCCCCTCTCCTTCACTTTTCAGAGAGCAATATTATATAGTAGTTAATCAAAACATTTAATCCACCAATTTTGGCAGGCGGGAAAGAAGTACAGTATGGTGGCAACCTCTGTGAACACTTGTATAATAAATATGTAGATATCAAAAGAAATGCAGAAAATGCACACAGTCCTAAACAGACCAGCAGTGTCTGTCTCTCGCAGTTCTGTGACATCAGAATAGGCATTTACAATCAATTTCCATGGGGAGAGAGGCATCTTTGTCAGAGGTTATCTTGGACGCATTTATCAGCCCAAGAGAGCACTAAAATACTAAAAATAGTGCTAGAACACCACCACACCTGAAAATGGAAAGGACACAGGATCTGGTAAGAGACAAAGAACACACACAGTGCTAAACTCGTGGAGCTGATCGAGATTAAATCTTGAACACATTGACCAGAAACAGGTGATATTGGTAAATGCCAAATCCCTAGTTTAGCAAAAGAAGGGTCACTGTCTAGAAGTTGAAACTAGAAAAAAAAAAAAAGAGAAACACTTTAAAAACAAAGAAACTGCAGCTACTCCTTACAAAAGCAGTGAGCCATCAGGTTCCTTTACAAAAGGCTGCAACAGATGTTTGAGCCCACCAAGGCCTGCCCCAGAGCTCAGGTGCTGCTCTGGAGGAGACCCGCCTGTTGGCCCACGCGCCCCCGGAGCCGAGGCAGGAACCAGGAGCAGCAGGAGCCGTGCGCAGCCTGGCCACACGCCCTGTATTTGCAAGACCAAATGAAACTAAACTAAACACAATAATTTTTCTGGCCCTAACGTTCCCTAATCTCTCTACTACTTAATCCAGATACAAAAGGTAATGAATTTAGGGTCAGCTGTATTTAATATTAAATACCAAACTGATCCCATTATTAAACTGCTCTTTAAGCACTCAAAACCTCATTAGGTGGGATAACATACACCCACCAAGCCTACCACCCAAACAGCTCCCACAAACATCAATTCTATTACTACGCAGCATCAATGAAAAACAGATTGGCTCAAATCAAGAAAAGTGTAGAGATTTTTTTCCGAGTGCACCAGGAACAAAAGAAGCTCTTGTAGCTCCAAAGGCGCTACCTGCCCTTTGCTGCAGCACGGCCACCAGCCAGCACCAAGGGCAATCAGAAGCATCATCTAAAATCTGACACCCTGATTACATAAAGGCTGAGCACTGCGAGCCAAGACCTGTCAGCCCTGTGGCCTAACCTGCCACTGGAAAAGCGTAGCCAGTTTAACCCATTTTGTGCTGTACAAGTTCAGCGTAACTGTCCGGCGCCCGGCAGCCAGCACAGCTTGGGCTAGCGGGGCGTCCCGTGCGCGCTGGCAGGCATGGCCACCATGGGCCGGCGACGCAGCGCGACCCGCAGCGCCCGACGTACCCGCTCCAGGTCCTGCCGGAGGTGCGTGAAGAGCTGCAAGCGCCTGAACAGAACATCCTGCTCTCGCTTGGCCAGATTGTCCTCCTCGTCCTTCTTTGGGGTGATCAGGGGCTTATTGAAATTGGCTTTTCTCTTCAGCTTCCAGTACTGGTACAGGAATCCCACGGGCTCCTCGGGCAGCCTCAGCGCTTTAGCCACTTCCGAGGACTCGACGAACGTGTAGAACTCGTCCTCCAGCTGCTGGAGCTTCTGCTTGCGGACGCTGACCCTGTGGGCCTCCTCGTGGTTCTGCTCGATGCCGTGGAAGGGGGCCATGTGGGCCGGGCGAGCGCTGTCCGGGAGCCCGTTCCCGTTCTCCTGGCCTGGGCTTTCCGCGAGCAGGGGCCCCTCAGGTGCCGGCTTGGAAGCGCTGTGCTTGGGGCAGTACGACTTGAACTTGACCTCATCGTTCTCCGCCAGGATGGTCTTCATCTCCAAGCCGCGCTCAAACGCACAGGTCACGTGAAAGGCTGTTCTGCAGTTCTTCACTGAACACTATGGAAATTAAATCAAAATTACAAATTTAAAAAGCTGGGCTGCCTGTAAGTATGCGAGCAGACAGGGCTCCCTGGGACGTGTGACCGCACTGCTGGGCTCTGCTTCACCTGGGGGCGAAGGACAAGAGGCAACTCACATTTTTTTCCTTTTTGCCATTTTTCATCCTCCCCAGTGAAATCAAGGCCTCATGGATTGGCACTAGTTCAGCTCCTTTAATACTTGATTTCAATTATAAATACTTTTCTTCTGCAAAATGCTGCCATAGCTATACCAGTCATAAATTGAAAGGTTTAAATATATGTTCCTAACATGTTCATACATACGTGCATGCACAACACACACACATATATAAAAGCATTTCTATCAACTCACACTTCTGTCCCCAGTAAAAATAATTAAAAGTGGAAATTAATGGTACTGACATTAACTAGGAGGGAACAAAACTATACTTTAACCCATGTCATCTAACCTTAAAGAGCAATTCATTGCACTAGGATATTTATACAGTACTTTGCAAAGCTGCCAAATATCTTTCTCCTCTGGGTTTTCCTGCTCGGGTTGACTCAGCAGCCAGATGGCACAGAAAGGTGCGCTGGGGTTTAACAGCACAAGATTCAACTCAGCATTCGTTAATAAGATCAATATATACAGTGGGGCTTTGTGGGGGTTTGTTTTCTTTTGTTTTATTTTTAGTAAAAGCATCTTTTGCCCTTTCTTCTCTCACTACCAAGCAGGGCAAGAGCAGCCCAAGTGGACATTTACACAAGATGCTGCTTTGGCCCCGGTGTCCGAGTGCTGTCGTTTAGGCTGAACCAGTTCCTCAGGTGGCCGTGTTTGCCTGTGGGAAGGGAGGAAAGGGAGCGGGGAGCAGGAGCGGCTGCCTCCCGGCAAGGACACGTGCTGTGCTGGCTGCAGAGGCGCTGCCTTCTCGCAGCTCCCGGAGCTGCCGCGGGGCCGCAGGGGGGCGGCGCCGGCGACGCGTCCGTCCCACTGCGGCCGCCCCGGGGACGCCCTGGATGTTACCAGGTCACGCAGGGCCCTGTCCTCTGGCAGCAACTTTGCAAAATGTTCTCCTCTGCTGGACAGAAACTTCACAGCACAAACGAGGTATTTCTCACACCTATCCCTCACGATATCGAGATCTGTGCAATTCCTATGAGATGTCAGGCTGAACTGCAATTTTCTTCTCTGTGTTCACCATAAAACTACTGCAGTTGGCCCTTTGAACAGGTCTGGAGAAATGAACAAAGCAGTTTCTCTCAACTACGTAAGCTGCCAAGAGGAAGGGGACAGGTCTGCAAGGAGGTATTATGTTTACAGATTTATATGCTGTGGACAGATTTATTTTCTTTACTTAACATCTACTATTTTATGCATTCCTTAAATGGAAACAGACTGATAGGTTTCACTGGAGCTCCCGCTGCATGGCTGCTTTACAGCTTTTTCTGGCAACCTCATCAAATGACTTCAAGCAGACAGAGGAAAACGGGAAATGGATAGAACTTAATTTTTAAAAGTGTAGGATTTTAGGAATTTTGGCATCCTAATTCCACGCTTACCATCACAGATTCTGTGGCACTAGGCTAACTGCAAAGTCCTAGCAGCTCTGTTCCCTGCTTGTAAAACCGAAACAACGGTATCTTCCCATCTGTCCCTGGGAGCTTTCTGAGAGCCATTTTGCCGTGGCATTTGCAGCCCTTGGAAGGTGGAAAGCATTAGCACAAACACTATGTTACATTTTATTATCTTTTTCTAAACAATGATATCACTTTGCCCCAAGTAGGCCACCTGCACTTGCTCTCTCTCTCATCATTTGTTCCAGAGTAAGTTCAAACTTGAGCCTCATCTCTTGGCAAGCAGAGCAGAGTCCTCTTGCACAAATGTGGGCTTTACCCACGTGTTTTTTTTTTCTCAATTGCTCTAGATTTTAAAATGGCTCTCAAAGTTACTGCTTAACCTCTCTGAGTGATTTTCCACTGCAGAGGATGCCCAAGTACTTCATGGCTAACAGACTGCTGGAGTTCTGCACACAAACAGGAGGAGGAAGCACCGTGCCCAGGCTGAAGCGCTCCAGCGCGGATCACTTAACGTTCTTTGGGAGTAGCAGCAATTCCCATGCACCAGGGAGAACCAACCGCTGCCTCCGCATCCAACTGGAGACACGGGGAGCGTGGCTGGTCCAGCACCAGGAACGCAAGCTGGGGCTAGGAAACTGCCTCTGCACCTGAACATTACTTGTTTATTTACTGCGTATGGAGAGGCTTTGGAGGGGGAAACACGGAGCATAGGTCCCTAGCATACGCAGGCTATGGAGCTAGGAAGGAATTTTAATCTCTCTGATTCTGCTCTGCCTTGCTGCTTTGTGCACTCATCATCGCTGTGCTCAAGTGAGTACTAGGACTCAAAACAAGAAACTGACGCTGCTTCTACTGGGAAAGTCACACCCAGGAGGCTCCTTTTCCTTCAGAAAAACCCAAACCCCCAGAATTTACCCACCACCGGTGGAGGAAATGGGGCTCATTTTCTCAGCTCTTGGCCTGCTTCCATCTTGGGCAGGCTACTTAAGCAATCTGTTTCTTTCCTGCTGTTCAAAAGCCTAATATTGAAAGCTCAGATGTTCGCCTCGGAACAGCAAAAGCTGCAGCAACAAAACCCCACAGTAACAGAAAAAAACCCTTAATCCCCAAAGACTCATAGTATCACTGCCTCACTAGCAGTAACAGCAGAGCCTGAAATTCACTTTAACCCCAGCTGCACTTGCAACCAACACGTTCCAAATTTGGTTGCGTCTAAAATAAGAAATTCAAAGCTAGAACTAACCAAACAGCTAGTTGTAGCGCCCAAGTAAGCGGTGTTCACTCCAGTGACCTTGGCGAAAACTGGGGATGTTGTTGAAGGAAATACACAGCTCCCTTACATGTATCTCCTTTGTTCCTGAAGTCCCTACTAGGGACCAGCAGACGGGGTTCAGCGCGGAAGCTTCATTTGTGTGCAAGGGTCACTACAGAAGCCTAGGAAGCCTAAAAACACTTGCCCGTTATTACTAACGTTTTACTAGAGAGTAAGAGCACAGTGGCAAAGCAAAAGCACTATTAAAAACAGATATTGATGCTACTGAATTACCTGTATTGAAGCCCCAACTTTTTCATTACAAAGGCTGCACACTAATGCCCATCTACTGCTGGGAATGTGAGAAACCTTCGTAATAGGTTCCATTTTTTCTGGGCTGCCAATGCTCACCTAAAGAAAAGAAGTTTAAGAACACAGAGTGACTACCATGCAGTTAAGAGAACAGGAACGCAATATTATAAAAAGATGTAATTCCTAGAAATCGACATGTTTTGGTTTCTTCAGTTTATAAAGAAACAAAAACCAAAAGTTACTTTTAAAAAGATTCAGTTCTTCACTACTGGAACAAAATAGTTACAAATTGACCATTGGCAATTTAAAATTTTTGCAGAAAGCGAACATTTGATTATCAGAACCTGTAAAAATTCTGTTACATCTTGAACCTCCCTTTACTCACTTTTAAATGTCAGTCTACAAAATAAAGCAGCATTTTGTGCTCTCGCTATAAGGAGCTTTGCCTGCTTTGCCCTTTTGAAGCCTAATAACAGAACATGATTCCTTTCGTCACGATGTATCATCCTGTCAGGTTTTACATCTCATGGAAAATAAATTCATTTCTGTTTTATCTTTTATACTGCCCAAGTCACACGCAGGTTACAGCCCCTGTAGCCGCGCGCTCGGAGCTGCGCACTGTTTTCAGCCACGTCCCTTCTCTCCCAGCACCGGGTACCGGCGCCCCACGGCCCGGGACCTACCTCGGGAATCCACAGGGCGCAGCTGACGTGGACCCACTTGGTGCCGCTCCGCGTGGGCTTCATGGCGCCTCCCTTCTTGGGACACAGCAGGCACTTGGGCCGCACGCCGAGCGCGCACGTCCGGCACAGCCAGCTGCCCTCGGGCACTTTGAGGATGCCGTAGCACGCCTGCGCTCCCCGCGGGGCAGCGAAACGAGAGGGAACAACACACATTCCTGTTGCTTGTTTAGCTCATTACAGGCAGCTTTTCACAACTTTCAGAACGCTACTAGAATGTATATAAAATATATATACACACGCACGTGACATATATGCACACATGCATCTATAAGCTATGCATGTACACGTTATACATGTATGCATATTACATACACACAGGTACATAAAAAACATATACAACACATTTAGTTGTGGAGCATCTCAGAATGCTTCCTAAACTTAGCCAACCACATGACCCATTCCCCAGATTTTTCCTTTCAGTGAAAAAGAGCAGGAAGCCAACACCAGCCCTTATGTAAAAAAATCACTTCCCACACTTCAGTTGGGAAAATAAAGAGCAAAGGGAGCCCCGAGAACTGGGAGCTACAGGGACTCAGTAGGAGAAAGCCTACAAGTAACAGCACTGGTCGCACGTAAGTCAAAAGGCACAACCCAAAATCCAAGAGCCCTGCGGTGCAAAACCCAACGCTACTCCAAAGCACCGGCTCCTGCACTGCTTATTCAAAGGGAGGGAGGAGTGCAGCAGAGCGACTAAGATCACTTTCCTCAGAAGACTGTTTCTTTATGGAGACCTCCATCAAAACTACTGTCAATTTTAATCCTATTTAAGCTCCAGATTTGCTGTGATTACAGATTAACATGGAACAGCTACAGGTCTACAAACATCAACTTTACTCCTGGACTACTTTGCAAGGTAGCAACTCATACCTTACTGCTTTTGTAACCATTTTTCTTTACCATATGTACAAATACAGATTTAAATAACACGAGCAAGAAAACACTGTCCATCTTGTGGGATGACCCAGCTTTCCTAACTCCGCATGACAAAGCAACCTTCTTAAAGCTGGGAAGGAAGCTGGACAGGCCAGGGGAGGGTATCGTGCACAACGAGCAGCAGCCAGGGAAACACTGTGGCTAAAAGAGCATCTGTCCTTCTGGGCTAAAAAGACCTGTTCAAGTGCCACCAAGAGGTGGCACATCATCACGGTGCTTCGTTTGCTCAGCTCACATCCGCAGGTTCTTCATTAAGGCAGAACTATTGGGCAAGTCCACCCAGCCCAGCCTAGCAATTGCCTCAGTTCTCTCTTCCTCCCTGTTCAGTGTAATTTGCTGATACTACAGGTATCTAAGAGCATGTAGAAAAAGGACAAAAGCAACAACACAGCCAGGGAAGTGAGAACGTACCACAATGTGCATCTGTACATATTAATGAGACCGTGCTTGTAGCTTCCTTCGCACATATGCTATAATGCCATCTTTTAACTCCCCTAGCAAGACATTTTTACAATTACAGGTAATTTCTGATTATAACCTTTCTGAATACACCCTACTGCTCAATGGTCACCTCTGGAAAAACTTAATGGAACAAAAACTGTCACTGGAAAACCCTGATTTGCCAATTTAAACAAATTTAGCTGCTTGGAGAAGCGCCTGGAAGCGCCCCTGCATTCCCCACGGTGGCTTGGCTGCCGTACCTGGTGCACACAAATATTGCATTTGTCACAAAACACCATCTCGTTGCCATCCTCTCCATCTGGAGACTGACAGACGTCGCAGACGACGTCCTCGTCATACTCGATGCCAAGGCCCTCCTCGGTCTCGATGGCGTGGTTCATGTTGTCATAGCACCGCTGCTCAAACTCCTCCAGGACCCTCTCCATGCTGTACTCGTCCAGCTCGGGCATCCCTGTGGAACCGGATCCGTTATTTCTTTGAAGGGAACAACCACCAGCAGCAGCAAACCCAGCTTCCTTATTGAATCAACAGTCGATTAGATTTGCTACCTTCTCCCCACCAACCTCCACACATTTCCTTCCTAGACAGTCACGGCTACTCCAGCGTAAACTAAGGAAAGCATAAAAAAAATGGCACACTAAAAAAATACACTGTCCTGTAACAGTGTCAAGCTAACAGAAGTGAAATATCAATATCAATCTTTCAAAATCCTCAGAACTATTACAGGTGATTCTGATTTTGGTTTCCTGGTCATGTTTTCACTTTTTATTTCTCCCTGGGCAGCACTAGCTATGGTTTTGGTTTCAATTTTGCAACCCAAACATTGACTTTTCAGTAAACGATTAGAGAGTATTTTGAACTAAAAATGAACAAACACCAATCAGGGAAATAACAGTGTCTTCTTAGAAACTGTGACCCAGCAGGGTGCAAACCCAGACTAAGGGCTATATCACATCCTGCCATGTCAATAAATAAATTTATTTTAGTAAGTGGACAACACATTGATAATAATATATAGTTATAACAAATTATAGTTCTTCTCCCCTCAACAGTGGCCATCAAAAAACTGTATTCATGACACTACAGCTATGGACTGATTGTATTATATTCTACAACTCAAATGTGTTACTTATTTTAAATTATTATTACTGAGCTGAAAAAACATGCCCTACAGAAGCAGCAAGAAAATACCACAAAAGGAGCACAGTCCTTCCCTCCCCACCTGCAAGTAACTGATGGGAAACCTTCCACGTCCCACCTGCCATGAGAAGTTGCTGCTTGCAACACCTGGACGTTGGTACCGCAGAGACCCTTCACTGCAAAGCGCTGCCCCACAGACACTTGTGCAGCTGAAAACACTGGGCTATTCCAAACAGTCCCTTCCCCCTGCAAAGCCAGGTGAGAACAAGAATTTCCATGCACTTAAGCAATTGCCATGAAGCGCAGGTACCAAATACTGAATCTTACTGCTACATACAGAAGAGAGCAACCTCTTGACGTGTGTTTTAAGGAGAAAATCCTTCTTTCAGGTCTCTCTCTGAATAACCTGGCCACAAACTCCACAAAATGAAGAAATGAATTCGCAAAGCAGAATTAAAACAGAACACAACTTCCCTCATGGAGAGGTAAATTCGTCCCAGGAAGAACCCCTTGAGTGACAAATCGCTGATCTATTCACTCCCATAGCATTAACACTGTGGTTGCTCTCCACTGTATTTGGCCATAAAGAAAAGTAAGGACAGAGGAGACCGTCTCTGTGAGGATGAGGGATGGTAACACAGGAAATCCTTATGCAGAGGATAACGCCGAGCATCGCCTCCTCACCCATTTCCTTGAACTCCTCGTTGGCGAGCTGCAGCCAGGCCACATCCACGTCGTTGAGGTCGTAGCGACACACGGCGTCCGCTAAGGTTCGAATGTCAACGTAGCCCAGCTCCGGAGGCTCCAGGCCCGAGGACACAATGTACTTCCTGGGACGCGTGAACGTGACCGCTTTGGTCTCGGACACAATCCTAGAACAGACAGACACGGACGCGCGTTGGGTCTGCTGGCTGGCGAGCGACCTGCGTCTACAGAGCGCAAACTGTCCTGAGAGGTCAGCAGCCTCCTAGGGGCGCCTTGCACCGCTGAGACAAGACCACAGCACAGCACAGGGCGCCTTACAAAGCACCGGCAAGGCTACAGGCTTTGCTTGGAAACCCAGTTCATTACCAAAATCACTGAGAAAAGGAAGAGATCACAGATTAGAGGAAAGAGCTCCGGCTACTCTTACCTGAAATTCTTACCTGTTTCAAAGCTAAAGGAGACACACTGATTTTAAGCAGTCATGGCTTCTATAGACACAGATGCCTAATTCTGTTTGAAGACTTTTTTTAAAAAAAATCCATTTGTTTAACTACAGTAGCAAGATCCAGAAAGCTGGTGAAAAAAGTAATACTTGCTACTAGACACAGTGTTTTCTTTCTTAAATTTCATTTATTGTGTGTGTACCTACGGCATTGCCATCCTGGTGAAATTCTGAAGTCCTTTCCACAGAACGACGGGCTTTTCCATCCGCCTCACCTTCACTTACCCCAGCAGATCCCAGCTCCGGCATCCTGGCTCTGCATTTCTAACGCCACAATGGGCCAAACCTTCAAGCAGGTAATTGAACAGTGGCCACCGAGCCACCTCCTCTCGGGTTGGGAAGGCTCCAGGTGGCCATCTATCTGGTAGGACAGCGCGTTTCAGCTGCCAGCTGGATGAAATTTTGTTTGACCCCTTTGCAGGAGACAGCAAAGTACCTGCTGTCCAGAAAGGCACCCTGTTCTGCCACTGCTGTACCTATGCAGAGTGTTTCAGAGCCCTGCAGAGCCACGTCCTCCCCATCCAGCCTGTCTCACAAAACACTCTGAGACACAGGGGGTGATGAGAGTCAAATGCTGAATATGTGGCTTCTGCGGTGCTGAACGGGGCCTCTGCATGAACCACAACCCAGATGGCTCTGCAGAGCTAACGGCACTGCCTCAACTGTTGCACTACTCCTGGCCATGCCACATGGTATTAACACATTCAAGACTACTACATCTCACACCATTTACTTTAAACAGAGCAGAGTTTTCTGAACCTTCCGTGCCATAAATCCCTTCCCGAACACCTCTCCGCGGGGCAGTTGTAACCTCTGGGCAGCCCCTGCACACACTGCCCAAATACCACTGAGGTTGCCCAGAAGAAACAAGCACCGGTAGTTTGGCTTTGAAACAAACCACCTACATCCTTCCGCTCTGTGACAGAGTGGATATAAAAGCAATAACAATTATTGCAACCCCTCCACAAAAAGCACATTTAGCTGAATCATCAGCAGACACTCGCACTGAATCACCACACGGACTCACTGCTCTGACCCCGTTTCCGGCCCTGCTCGCGCTGTGCTGTCCAGTCGCTACAAGGCCAAAGACTTTGGTTCTCCAGAGTCTTTCCCTTGTCAGTACCAGCCGCCTGTACTGGGTTTCCCTCCTGTTCCACCCGAGCGACTGTTCCCACTCCTGGAGCCCCGCGCAGAGGAGCTGCAGCCCCAGCGGCCTCTGCACAGGGCCAAAAGCAAGTAACAGGGTCTGGGGGCTACTGCCCAGTGGGTGTAACCGGGTCTAGGGGCCGCTGCTCGGTGGGTGCTCACTGCTGCGACCACATAAGGTAGCTCAGCATCTACAAAACAAAAAAAGGAGCGGTGCCTCCTGCCAACCTATGACTTTGAGGGCCCTCTTGCCTTTTCCCCTTTCGTTTCCTGGTCTTGGAGCAATTCCCCTGTTGGCCACCTGCACAGAACGACTCCCTCCTTCCAGGGTATCTGGGCCTGGCACAGCCATCCAACGCCTCTCCACAAGTGAGGCAGATCCAGGGAGGGCAAAACCCGGCAGGGCTCCCTCCCTGCGGAAACCCGTGGGTCTCCAGCCCCTCTTGCAGGCCAGGGGTAAGGAAGAAAGCGGCGGGAGCCAGCGTGGCATCACCCTGGGGGAGGGCAGTGTAGGGCAGGACGCAGCGCTGCAGAGAGAGGATCTGTTCCCACACCTGCAAGGGCAGGGCAGAGGGCAAGGAGGAGGGCAAGGATTTACCTGTCGTGGAGGCACGTTCCCCACTGCACACACTTGGCAGGGCAGTGCAGTAGTCTGTAGGTTGCTGCACAGCACCAACCTCTTGCTACAGCCCCCCTGCTGCCGGGTTACCGCTGGCTGCAGGGTGCAGACTTGGCAGAGGCAAGTAATTAAACGGCAAAAAATCTCATTTTCTGAACCTCCAACCCCAGCTAACCAAACAGCAGTTGCTGCAGTACGCTGCTGCCTTGAGCAGTGTGTTGTTCGATTTGCAACAGAAAACAACCTCTGAATGCAACAAAAAAGGGAAGGAAAACAAGGTTTTCTTGGGTAAGAGTTGGGAAATCTCACATTAATGCCTGTACTTACAGGCACATCTGGATGCTTTTTAAAACAACCAACGTTGAGTAAAAAATAAATATAAAGCTTCTAAATTAGTAAACAAAATGAGTCCAGAAAACACCAGAACAAATGCTGTATTCTCGTGATCCTTCAAATCTGGCTTGTCCAACCAATTCCTTGAAAGGAACCTCTGGCTTGGAACTAAGCACGAGAAGCACCAGACAAGGGCTCTTCTGGCACTGCTGAGTGAGGTCAGGTCTTGGCTTAAAAATGGAAGCTGTTTTGGAGGGCCCATCATCACAGTTCTTCCTAACAAAATGCCAAAATCATTCTCTGACATTCACGTTTCTACACAGAGCAGATCAGAGCAGGCCTGGTTCTTGACTTGTCTGACTATTCAAAAAGCCGAGGCAGGTCGCTCTCCATCTCTGAGAAGCAAGTCCCTTCCAGCTATTCCTGAGCAGAATAGAGCCCAGGAAGTTGAGGTAACGTACCCAAGCTGCTAGCAGATATGTATGTGCATTTGGTTGCATTCCTCCAAACTATACCTGGCTACTGGTTCTGGGATGGTCCCTGGGCTAACTGGCACCTGAACTCCCTTTTCCCACTCCTGCCTCCAGGGGTCTGCCAGCACATAGTATTCATCAGGGTTCAGCTGGAAGGTGTCATGTAACTTCATGGCAGTGATCAGGTCCGTTCTGAACACCTGCAAAGAGAGTGACCAAGAGAGAAAAATAGAGACACTGACATTCGATATTCACACTCTGTGATTCACAGCTCCAGGGTAACCGTGGAGCACAGTGCATAACAAGGTCACTGTATCAACAGCGAGCCACCCCAGCCGACTGCAGGACAGGAGTTCAGCCCCATGGCAGGGAAAGGGGGGGCAGAGGGTGCGAACGCCGACACAGCGACTCGCAGCTCATGCCTTTACGAGGCCGGAGGCTCCTCCACGCTGCAGCCACTCGGACCTCCCTCTTGGCTGCAGCAAAAGCTGCAGGCAGCGCAGGGAAGCCTCGGCCTTGCTCCACGTGAGCACCCTCACCACGATCCAGCTGGCCTTCGAGAGCAGCACCAAGCCTCAGGGCTTCTTTAATTGTTGGAGCTCCGACTAATCCGAAAGCATTCTAGAAATTCCCTGCGGTAGGAATCAAGGCGGGACTCTACCATGACAAGCCACAAGAGGAAATTCTAAGGAGATGACTCTTGATGCAAGTATTTAAAAGTAATAACCAAAAGACTAAGTAAAGCTAGCTCCGAACTGTGAGTCTAAGGGCAGCTCCACGCTCAGCACAGGTGCTTGTTACTCCGTGAGCTGCAGCTGCCTCTGCACCACAGCCACAATCCCCCTTTGCAAAGGCATCAGCCTCTACAACC